GAGTACTATTAATATCAACAAGAATTTATAGGCATTTCATTGTAGAACAGTTTATAAATATATTCACCTAGGTTGTTCTATTTCTTTACATTCTGCTCCCTTTGGGATACTTGAGTAAGGTAAAAGAAATAGAAAGCTAATAGAAGATAATGGAAGGTTACAGAAAGTATTCTTTACTTTGTGTGAGCATAAAGCCATATCCATCATTGTACCAGTTTTAAGAAGTTGTCTAACACTTTTTCTGTACATTCCACAAAATTTTTGAAGGCAAAAATTAATTTTCTGATGGGAAAGTTTACCCAAAAGCCTTGCCCGCCCCTCCTCCCCCCATAATACAGAAAGGTGTTTATCTAGCTCAGGATTTTTAAGATTAAACTAATTACTTACATGTTTTTGAAAAGTTTGCTTTTAGAGGGGCCAAACGTTTTTAACTTATCTCTGCAACAAATAAAGAAATAGGATGAAACTAGAGATTTGGATAACTTAGAGTCTCATTTTAAGAGTTCATTTCGCCAAATCTGAGCTCCTAGGAAGGTTCTGCTTTTCAGAACAGCATTTCCTAAGCACTCAGCACGTTCTAGGTACCTTATGCTGAGGACTCAAAAGTCACAAGTCACTGCAAAAATACAGGCCAAGACTTGATTGTGGAAGAGTTTATCTCAAAAAAAATGTAAACGGGGATTCAGAGATAATAATGTTCTAGTTATGGCTGTAGTTATTTTAATGTAAGAAATATTAACATAAAAATGGTGTAGCAACATTTTTTTTTTAGAATTCTGGCTTTAACTCCGAATATTATTTACATAATTTCACATTTTTAATTTCAGATGACCCAAGAATCTGTATAATGTGCATTCAGAACTATTATATGTAAGTATAGCTATATAGCTTTTCATGCCTATACATTTTTCTAAAGCAAAAATGTGTGCTTCACTACACAAATCTGTGCTGTGTATTTTATATTATATATAGAGATTATATATATCTTTTAGGTATTGCCTATCTGAGAACAGTAACTTTGGAAAAAAGTTTGGGAAATGCTGAAAAACTAGCCAATTGCTCACTATGAAGGCCTTCTAAACCTTACGGACTGATATGAACTTTGCATATATGAAGTGAGGAATATAGAACAGAAAGGGTCTAAAACAGTGCCTCTGGATTTGGAACTACTATGCTGTTAGTATATTGTGTTGTCCTGGTTTCGGCTGGGATAGAGTTAATTTTCTTCCTAGTAGCTGGTATAGTGCTGTGTTTTGGATTTGGGATGAGAATGATGTTAATAAGGCACTGATGTTGCTGAGTAGCGCTTACACTAAGTCAAGGACTTTTCAGCTTCTCATACTGCTCTGCCAGCGAGCAGTCTGGAGGTGCACAAAGAAGCTGAAGGGGACACAGCCAGGACAGCTGACCCAAACTGGCAAAAGGGGTATTCCATACCATATAATGTTACACTGAACAAAGAACGGGGGGGAATTGGCTGGGGCAGTCATGCAGCCACTGCTTGGGAACTGGCTGGGCATTAGTCAATGGGTGGTGAGCAATTGCTTTGTGCATCACTTGTTTTATATATTCTTTTATCATTACTATTATTTTCCTTTCCTTTTCTGTCCTATTAAATTGTCTTTATCTCAACTCACGAGTGTTACCTTTTTTCCGATTCTCTCCCCCATCCAAATGTGGGGGAAGGTTAAGCAAAAGAAAGAAAATATAGATTAATTGAAAGTTTAACTTAATGGAAGAAAAAGAAGAACTCTACTGCTTTTCAAAGAGACACTTAAGAGATCTCTGTAAAAATAACCATCACAAAAGAATATGTTGATAAAGAGGCTATTCAATCAATCTATAAACAATGGCATTGGATTATATATTTTTACAAGCAATCAGCTCTTTACAACCACAATATAGTAATTTCTAATTGAGCATGCATTTGGTTTTGTGCCTACATTTAAAAAAGAAAATCAAATTAGTTATACTTAAGAGCCCTGAATTAGAAAACATGACTTGTTAATATTTGCTAGTTGAATAAGGAACATAACCACAAATACACTTTGAATCCTTCATTCGAGGAATAATTTCTATTCATTAGGATGAGAATAGAGGTTTACCATTACCATACCTAGAAACATACAGAAAGCAAACTCTGTGACCTCAAAAGAAACTTACTAATGATGTTCTACTGTATCTTACAGGTATAAGCAGCATTGCTATAAATACTGCCCAGAAAATACCTACAGAGATGAAAGTTCTCTGCAGTGTAGAGAGTGTCCTAGCAACTGTGATAGCTGTGACAAGGACAAGTGTGACTCATGTAAGGAAGGCTTTTATCTCTCAGGTAAGCAAAGTATTAAGTATGGTATATATACAAAAGTATTTTACACTTTTTCTTTAGAGAAAAATTCTGGACCCAACTTCTCAAATTCATAAATCTCTTCTATGGCAGACAGTGGAGGCTGAGGGGAGTTAGGACTTTGCAGAATTGGGTCCTTTGCATTAATGTAAGGTGATAATGTTAGCCAATGGTGCCATTTGGTTCAAAGGCTCCATATATATGACTACAAATTCCAACTTTTTTTTTTTTGTAGTTTTGGTTTTAATGCATTTCCAGTCTTTTGGGCAAATACAAAAAACATTGTATTTGATTCAGACTTTGTGTTAGGAGGGGTTTTTAACTCACAGACAGATATGGAAACATTTTCTTACTATGTGCAAGCCTAGTTTTACTTTGACTTTCAGGTCCACATAAAGTAACGAGCCTTAAACACTCTGAAATGAGCTCAGGTAAAACCACTAATTTCCACATCAGACTCACACAAGACTAGGAATCTCTTAGCTTTATTGTGAAGCCATAAATCAGGCAGATCTGGTTCAGGCACGGTGCCAAATATAAATCACAGGACAACCTCAGTTTATGGTATTCTTGTGCACTCCCTGCTGAAGGTGCCCAGTAGTGGAGTACAAAAACACCACACTCATGCAAAACTGTGGTTACAATCTGAGGTGGTCTGGTGGTCTACATTTTTTTTAACTAAAATTGGAGGAAGCTCAAAAAGCTATCAGTGTAACAACTTCTAGGGGCTTTGCTGCAGTATGCCAATCCTTAAATTGAATTGATTTTATCTGAGTTCAGCTTTATATTTACCAGAAACTAAAGATTCATCCACTCCTCAAAATTTGCATATGTCTAGCATTATTATGGAATTCTGGAGTTAGATTTTATACTGGGCCAGTATAAAAATTTGGACTTAACCATAAAATTTTTATCCAGATTTGCACTTTCTTAATATTTGTATGTGCCAGGATTTAGGATATGGATGAAAACCCATCTAGATATAAATTTAAGTGCAGATTGGTTTGAAGTTTGCATAAGTAACTGAGATGAATTTACGTTTCACACTAAAAAACTAGATTTTATATAGCTACAAAAAGTTTCATGGGTTCTTATATACTGTTTTTTTCTTAAACTGTTTCTTGCTGACTGTTTCTTGCTTGAGGCAGAGAGATGCTATAGGTGAAGTACCTCCTTGTGAGGATTGACAGAGGTCAGTAGACACCATGACATGAGGCTCTGCTTCTCTTGCAGGTGGCACATGTGTGAGTGAGTGTGGAGATGGCTTCTTCACTGATGGCATCTCTAGAGAATGTGAACCTTGCCACAGGAGCTGTGCAACATGTGTTGGGTACAGCTACGAGAACTGTACTGGGTGCAAAAACAGTTTCCAGCTATCTCGTGGGCAGTGTCTGAATCCAAGAAATTCTCCACCCAATGGGAAGTTCTGGAGTGGTAAGTTGCAACAGATCCCTTAATCTTTTCTGTTTCTCTGAAGACTACTAAAAGTTTTAGAAAGAGGGTATCAAGATCTTGCAGCTTGAGTGAAACTGCACTTTTGTCAAACTCATTGTCATTTTAAAAATATACTGACCAAAAACATTGGTTTCACAGGGTGAAATTCATCTTCCTGCAAATAGCATAAAATTTTAATGCAACTTAGGTGTTCCTTATCTGGGAGTTATCTTATCTGGAGAGATAAAAGATTAAAAAATAGAAGATAAAAAGTATGAAAAAGATAAAAGATAGATAATAGATTAAGGTACTGGGCGTTCCTTGTATAAAGTATGGGGAGCCTTATAGGCTATATGTTAGGCCAGCTTTGTGGCTATTAATTACCTACACAGAAGTGAATGTAAGTTGGAGGAAATGGAAAAGAATCAAATATGTGTTTGTGTGTGTGTGTGTGTGTGTGTGCGTGTAGCATGTGTTGAAAAGCAAGCTCTCTTCCCTTCTCCCCGCAATGTAGGCATGCACCACAGTCTAAGGGACCGAACACAGGAGGCAAAACTACATTCTGGAGTTCTTTTCCTACCTTGGCCATTTCCACAACCTTCACAAAATAGTCAATTCTTTCTTGGTTCCTTCATCTATAGCATGGGAAAAAAAAATTCTGTGTTCAAAAAAGAAAAAAAAAAAGGATTTGGAAGGAAAATGCTTTTAAAATTTAAAGCTGTTGAAGGGAATGATTTGTATTAATTTTTTAAATTATTTCCCTTCATAAGTGTCTTCAAATGCATCCCAGTACTGTCATAAATTTCTTGTTAAGAAAGTGTTAAATGAAAAGTGTGTAGTAGAATATTTGTCATTCCCATTATGTCAGTTATATAAAGTACAATTGAATAGGTTATATTACCAAATGAAGCAGTGCTAATGGTGAATTTATCACCCAGCACACAAATTAAAACGCATTTGCTTTGAATATTCATACTTTTTAAGTGAAACCTGTGCAGCACATAGAATCTCAATAGTTAGGACTGCAAGTGGCACTTTTTAATTACCTGTACGCCATAACCTTCAACAAAGGGTAAAATTTCCTCTAGAGTGTCAAAGGCTGCTTTGCTGATCACTGTAAACAAGGAGAAAAGCTGGTGTCATATAATTCTTTCAATTTCTTTACAGTTGTAAAGCATCAGCTGGAATAATACATTCAATTTTGGGCACAGTGTTTAAATAAAGAAGTGGGCAAATTAGAGAGGAAACAATGAAGATTATCAGAAATCTAAGGAAAAATTATTTACAATGAAAGTTGAGATAAATGAGGGGCTTGGGACTAAATGAGAAAGCTAAGAGGAACACAATCATAAAGAAGTATGGAATAGATCAGGTCTCTGTGAGTGCGGTAAACAGGAGTTAAAATCCAGAAAGGGAGTTTTAGATTTGGCATTGGAAAAAGGGGACTTTCAAATGGTAAAACGGTGTAACAGTAGAATCTTGGAGGAGGTTTCAGGATTTCCGTCATTAGGGGTCTTTAAGAACACATGAAAATCATCTGACAGAGATGTTTACTGAGTGGAGTAAGAGACTAGATTACTTAAGGTCCTTTCCAGCTTTATTTTTCTATCAAATACAATTTTTCTTCTGATTCCTATGTCTGTCTTTGACTCAAACACATCAAAGAATGGCTATCGTTAGATCTATATGACCTTGCATTAAAAATTAAAATATACTAACAAATATTTTCAGAAAAAATATTGACCATTTCTATTCATTGCCTATCTACGGAGAAATGGTGTATCAAAAGGAATAACATTTCTTCACTTCAGAAAAAGATCAGAGAGACATAAAAAGGAGAAATATTAATAGAAAGTTGGTCTCCTCTATGCATTTCCTTGTGTTTCATCCATACGAGTATTTTTTCAATTTGAGACTGTCTACATGAATGCCATGGAAAGAGCACATTTGTAGTTTGATCTATCTATTAGTTATCTATTTCTCACACTGTCAAATCCGGTGACTTGTCATTTTTTTTCTTTTGAGCAGGCAGCTGATGCAGGTCTGTATATATCACCATTGCTGTGCTGGGAAACCTCTTTCTCTCCATCTTGCGTACCCTTTCTCTTTCCTTCCAGTAGTTAAAATACATCTTACTTAGGGGCGTTTCAAACTGTAAGATACAACTGTCTCAGAGCTGTACTGGCTTGAACATTAATGACTGCTCCAAAGTCACAGGATTACTGCTGCAGCTGGTGATGGGCGTCCATGGAACCTGGCTGGAGGGTCTTCACCTTCTTTGGGATAGATTTGCTGGGATTCCTGCAGTGTGGCAGCAGCTGTGCCATGTAACCGCTGAAAAAATGATGTTGAACTTCATGATATCTTGAGCCTTTTCTCACCAGGATAGGCTTCCAAAGAGTAGTAACCTTCAAGTCAAAATGTTAATGAAGTTGTCACTGTCTTTACTGAAGTTACACCCTTAATAACTACATTTATCATCAGTTTGTGAGGTGTCTCGCTCAGATACTGTAGGATCATCTGATTCCCATAACAGTCATTTTCATTTGCTAATTAACAAGAAAATCTAAATGGTTGATTTTTTGGCTAAAATATCACTCTTTCACTCATTTCTTTTGGTGATGCATCCAAGAGGCAGATATCAGCTGAGTCCAGATTTCCAACTGTGCCATCTATATTTGAAATTCTCGTTCCACGCTGAAGATCCTTAATAAAAAATAAAGGATTCAGGCAGGACCATATGTAACTCTAGCAGTACATCACACCAATAGGGTAGGTCTAGTTAGAGACTGCAGTACATTTCACACCCTGATAATGTTTTGAAATATGTGGATAATTTTAAAATAAAAAAAAAAAAAGAAAAGAAGAAACAGTTTCGCTATGTGTTACAGCTATTTTCTTTATTGTCAAAAGTGTTCTGAAAACCAATAAAATTTAGGAGAGGCAGCCAGTCTTTTATTGCTTTGTTCAACAGTGTTGTAGGATAAGTACAAGAATGGACAAAATGAAAATGTATCTGTGCTCCTTGAAACTTACTGTCAGTGAGGATTCTGGCTGGCATACCTGTACAGAAAAACTCCCTGGGCCTGGAACAATGATCCCTCTCCAGATCTTCTTAAGCATTTCTGTAGGGCTTTCTCTTTTCCATTATTTATTTTAAAGAAGATTATGGGGACAGAGCAAATACTTTTTCTGTCATACATGGGTGCAAATTATGGCATCTTTCCAAGTTTTTCACTGCTTCCTTTGGACAGATCTCTAAGTATTTTATCTTAGTTTATTTTTTGTGTTCTTTAGCTTGTTTTTAGCTACTTTGATTTTCTCCAGGGTTATTTCTTCTTAGCAAAATATAAGAATCTTCCATCTCATCTGTTGTCAAACTCAGTTTCTAAGGGTAGCCTGTCATGCAGCATGGGCATGGTCCACGAAGCTTGTCCATTCTGCAGGGGATATTAAAATACTTTCATGTTTGTTCACCAGCCCAGTGTGGGAAAGACTGTGGCTGAGGTTTGGCTTTTGGCACTCATGCTTTCTGCCTGTTCATCAATACACTCTTCTTCCACTGGGTGCTCAGTGTCCTCAACACATTTATATTGATGCAGCATCATGGCAGAGCTGCCTCTGAGCTTCAGTGGCCTGAATTAAATAATCTAACTAAAGAATACAGGCCAGATAATTATTAGTCCCACCACTTTGGGGGATTGAGCTGGGCGTGGGGGCCAAGTATGAAATGAACAACCACGCCCCTGTCATGGGAATGAAGATGAGATATCACCAAGCTCATCCTCAGCACATGCCCTGCTCCAGACAATGTAGAAAGACAACACAACTAGGAAGATAGCCAAAATTTCCAAATCCAGTAGTTTACATCAGCTTTTACCACACTAGTCTTCTATTTACTCTTTTTCTTAAGAAATGTCACTAACAGTGAATTGAGGTATTAGACCTTGAACTGTATTTACAAATAATGAAGTAATTTCTCTTTGGCTCTTCCAGTCACATGGATTCAGTGGGTTCCACTGTGGTTTTAGTGACTGTGTTGACGTACCATATAGGAACGTTTTGGGATACAAAGACTGTTGTTTTTTTTGATTCCAAGGCTAACATAAATTAAAGGGCAGCACATCAGAGCCTGCCACAGGGAAACGAACACAGAGTCTGACTTTTCATTGCAACTTGAGAGACCAGTCCATCTAGGTGAGGATTAAAACGTTTGTGAATGTGAAATACACTTTTTTCCCATGTTTAAGTTTTCTCTTCTACTTCTTATGCAAGGATAAATAATAGACCAGTCTTTTGAATTTTTATGAGCACACACTCCAAAAACCAAAACATTCTATAAAAAAACAACTTTCTAAAATAATATTTACTTTGGGGGTATACTCTGCTGGACAAACAGTTCAGTTCATATCAGGAATCATTAACAAGTCATATCCAGGTCTGAAATAATGAAACAGACTATGTCTGTTATCCAGGCTTTCAAAAGGAGAGGGCAAGCCAAGAAAGGAGGAAAAAGGAAAAAAAAAAAAAAAAAAACAC